TTAATTCATCATGGTTAAGATTTATATATTTTCTTAAGTCTCTGGATAGGTGTCTTTGACCATTTCTGGAAGATTGTTAATTATTTCTTTAAACATTGTGTCACCTGTAACTCCGATTACGGTATACATGAGTTAGTTCTTTAATTTTTCCTACAGTTTCAACTATATTTCTTACCCTTTCTCTCAGATTTACTTTCCCCCTTTTTTGTATCTCTGTGTGCATTTTGACCTAGCCTCCTGGATTTTAGCTCTCTCTGTGTTTAATCTATTTGTAAACCCATACATTAAACTTTTAACTCCAGTTATTATATTATTTAGTTGTAGAATTGGTAATTGTTTCTTTATCAAATCTGCTCTATTTTTATAATTTTTTGCATTTCTATGTTTCTATCTATTTCAACTAAATACCCATAATTATATTGTCTTTGTCCAATAAACTTGTATCTCATGTCTGTGGTTTTACTGTAGGTCCTCCTTCTGGATATGACATGCACTATCTTGTTTTATTATGGGCCTTATTGTTTTAGATTATGTGCTTATTCTTGAAAGGCTAAATTAATTGTACAAAAATATTTACCCTAGAAAGATATTATCTTCTTCCATAGAGCACATTCCTTTACTTCTGTGAAGTATGTGGGCCCCTTCTGCCTGAAGGGCTACTTAATCCAAGTTCAGGGCTTGACATTCTGTGTTACCCAGGAGGCCAACTCAGGATGACAGTCCATTTAAAAACCAATCTATTTAATTTTTACCCTTCACCTTTGCTGGTGTACCTTTATCACGCCAGTTTATAGTTTGAAGGGGTTTATCAAACACCTCCTTTTATGCATCAGGGGAACTGGACTTTTAAAATCCCCCTTGCTATTGAAAGACCACAAAAATGCTAGCTTGGTTTGGTAACTGCTGCTTTGAAGTACTAAATGCCTTTAGAGAAAATGAACTGGGCCTAACCTCTGATGGGTTTTTCTTTTAATTTTCCTTAGATTCTGGCTTGGTAATTCTTCCTTGGTTACATCTTTGAGGATTTCTTAAAAGCTGTTTTTTATATTTCATTCATATTTTTCATATATCCTCAGTAGGAAGTTGGCATCATAAGATACCTAATTTATTATTCTTGAGAGCAGAAGGCTTTTAGCTCTGTTAGTATTTTATATATGCAGATCTGTTACTTGTCCACATGTGGTGATGATCACGTGTCACATAATGAATACAAATGTTTTAAGAAAAAAGGGAAAGTTTCACTCAGAAGGACTAATGATTTCAGAGTATTTCAAAATACTACAACTGATGGTGGGCCAGACAACAAAAGTGTTTTATAGGTCATTGTAAGGATTTGATTTTAAGTATTTTCTCTGAGTTCTAAATTCTTGGAGGATATTGAGCAAAGAGGTGACGTGATCCAAGTTTTAGTTTTCTTCTCTGGATGGTGGAAAATTAAAATTGGATTTATCATAATTCTTATTCATAAAGGCATTCATAAGTGGTTTATATATAAGCATATTTTGGTTATTTATGACATTAGTTATTTTTTAATAATGTTGTAAGCACTGATGCATAGACTGACGGGCAAGGTAAATTTTAGGACACTAAAATTTTTCTACCTGTGTGATCCTTTCCACATTCTATCCTCCTCTGAATGTTTTGTATATCATTACCATTCTTACTCTCTTCTACAATTTTATTAGACCTGTCTACACCCCCTAAAGTGTACATATTATTCTAGATATTTAGCTTTAGAGAAGGACTGTCATGTCAATGTGATCTTTGAGATCTTATATTTTCTCTGCTTCATATTATAACATTAAGATGCTTTAACATTTTTAAGCATTGCTTCATTTAATTGTGTTTTTTGGTCATATAACATTTCATTGAGTGAACATCCATGGCTATTTATCCACTCTTCTGTCAATGTGATGTGGACTGTTTCTATATTTTGCTATTGGAAATAGTTTTATTAACATGCTTGCACATGGCTCTTGGTGGACACATGCAATGGGTATGTGTGTTTAACAGTGTGAAGGGTGTGAAACTTCATGTGTAGGAGATAATGTGAAGCATTTTTCCAAGTGGTTGTACCATTTTGCAAGCCCATCAGCAATGAGCAAGACTCCATGTATCTATATATCTGCATTCTTCATAACAATTGATCTGGTTATACTTTTTAATCTTTGAACAGAACCAGTGTAGAATGGGAGTGCACTGCCATTGTGGTGTGTACCCTATATCTCCAAAGACATGGCGCCTCTCCCTGCTGATCAATCATGTCTTTTCTTTCTCCGTGAAATGCTCATTCAAGTGTTTTGCCTCTTTCTATGCTTAGCTTTTTTGTGAGTTTTGCATTGCTAGAAATATGTAATATATTCTTTTCACCAGTTCTTCATCAATGGCATGAATCGTCAATATCTTATTCCAGTTTTTAATTTCTCTCTTCATTGACTACTACATGTTTTTGTTATTCAAAAGTTTTCAGTATCATTATAGTCAAATTTTCAATTATATTTCAATCTTATCTTTTCTATTATATTTAATGAATTTCTTTGTGTTTGGTTTAGGAAATATTCTCCTACCCCAATAGTTAAAATAAATTTAACCACAATTTCCTTAAAGAATTTAAAATTTTATCTTTGTCATTTGTCGCTAATTCATTTGGAATTTGTTTTTTACATGTGTAAATATATGCAAAAAATATGCACATAAAGTGTTCCCTCCTTCCATAGAGAGAACCATTTTAGTGTTAGTTATTGAATAAAACTTTTTTCCTCTTCACTGATCTGATGTGGTTGTTGCCACTATAAACAGGTCTATTCCACACCTTCTACTTACCAATTTATCTATCACTGCATTAGCACCATACTCTTTCAGTCACTAAAGTTTTATAATTAGTTTTGATGTATTATAGAACAATTTTTTTAGCTTTTTTTCTTTTTTTTTAAATAATTGTCAAGCTTTTCTTGGCCTTTATTTTTCATACAAATTTTAGAATTATTTTATCATATACATTATGCATCATGGAAAATTCTGCAGAAATTTAATGGGAATCTAGTAGAAATTTTAGATTCAGAATCAACTTCTTTATGCTACACAATCCTCCTAATTTTAACTAAGCTAGAATTCTTTAGTTCCAATTAGTGCCTTTTAATAATCTGATACAATTTCCCAGGTAGACAACTTACCAACTTTTATTTTTAATATATATATATATTTAGGTACTTGGTGTTTTCTGATGTCACTGAGAAAAATGGCTTCCTATGTTTCCTAGTTGGTTACTAATAGTTTAGGAAAAAACCCAGTTGGTTTCTTATGTTAATATTGTATCTATCCATATAAATTCTTGTATTTATTTTTTCTGTAGTAGCATTAGAAGTTTCTGTGAAAATTATATTTCATGGCTCGGCGCCTGTGGCTCAAGCGGCTAAGGCGCCAGCCACGTACACCCAAGGTGGCAGGTTCGAATCTCCAGCCTGGGCCCTCCAGACAACAATGATGGCTGCAACCAAAAAATAGCCGGGTGTTGTGGCGGGCGCTTGTAGTCCCAGCTACTTGGGAGGCTGAGGCAGGAGACTCGCTTGAGCCCAGGAGTTGGAGGTTGCTGTGAGCGTGATGCCATGGCACTCTACCCAGGGGGATAGCTTGAGGCTCCGTCTCAAAAAAAAAAAAAGAAAGAAAATTATATTTCATATAAATATAGTCCATTTCCTTCTGTTTAATCCTTATGGGTACAATGTATCTTTACTCTCTTAGTGTATTTGCTAAAACATCAAATATAACGTTGAAAACAAAGCAGTGATAACATCTTTTCTTTCATTCAAAAAAGCCACTTCAGTATTTTCCCCAAAAGGATTTCTTTTTCATACATTATAAGTTGTATTTCTTAAGTATTAAGAGATATTTTTCCCAATTTGTTTCTGCATCTGAGATAACTGTATATACATTTTTGGCTTTTAACTTGTAATGTAAATTCCATTAATAGTTTTGGAATTATGGTTATTTTGGCTTTGTAGTGCTAGTTGGGGACTAGTCCCTATATTTAATGTCTTTGAAAGACTTTGTATAAAATTTAAATTATTTGTTGCTTAAAAGTGTGACAGAAGTTACCTGTAAAATCATTTAGAACTAGTGGCTTTCTAAATTTTGTTCGCATGTTTGCTTGTGTGTGTGTGTGAGAGATGTTTACTTTTGTTTGTATAATTGTGAAGAATTGTTGTAATTTCTTCTTTGCCCAGGAGACTTTTAGCAGCCTATTTTTTTTTAATTTCTAAATATGAAAGCTTTTTTAAATTTTCTTTTTGGTTATTAATTTCTAAGTTAATAGTATTATGATTAATGAGCATAATATGTACAATAGTTATTTTTTTACAGTGTGTTGAGGATTTCTTACCTTACTGGTCAAGTAGATTGTCATTTTGATAAATTTTTTTGTGCTCTTAAACAAACTGGATTCTTTAAATGTTGTTTTCAGAATTTATAAGTATCAAACTTGTGTGTTCAAAATCCATATTTTTTCTGCTTGATCTATCAGCTGAAAGAAATGTGTTAAAATCTTTTAATGTAGTGGCAGTAGGGCCAGTAGGGCCTTCAGAGCTGACCACTTTCCAACATTGATCACCTCCTTAAGTTGACCTAATTTTCATAGCTCAAACATGAACCACATGTAGGCATCAATACAGTAGAACTAGTTCCTTAACTACCTCTGTATGTCGACCAGTTTGTTACAGTTCCTTGGGTGGTCAACCTACAGAAGTTCTATTATATTTAGAAGGTATTTTAACAAACTTTTAGTTGTTTTAAAATTCTGTGTCTTGTTTAGTAATTTAATTGCTTTTATTATGTAGTAAACTTCTTCATCCTTAGAAAAATATATTTAAGTGTTATTATCTTGATTTGTATTTTTTCATATCATTCTGAGTGGTTCTATTAAAGGTACTAAATAAGTATAACAATCTCTAAACCCAGAGTGGATCATCTTTTTCTGTTTTGGGCCACTAAATTGTTTTGTCCAGGTCTCCTCCTTCTTTGGAATTGGAAACCATATTTAAATGCTACTTGGCCTATACAACGTTTGTTTTTGGATCTGCGAGGAAGTGGGAGGATCTCAAGCGAGTTGCGGTAAGAACTAGTTTTATTTTTTCACCTGTTAGTTTCCCAAACTACTGCAAACATTAAGATGTTAGAGTGCACGGCTCTTTCAAAACATACTATTTCAGACCCTTTCACAGGGGTTGGGGATATGACTTCCTCAACTTTAAAACTGATCAAAATAAAAGTATAATAATTGAGTTCTAGTTCTTCCTTAAAAAATATTTAAACCTCACTGTTTACCTACATTTATATTTAAAGAATTGATTTCGATGAATTCTCTATTTATTTAGATCAGTTTTATTTTGTCAGTCTAAGAGGCCTGAAAAAGTTATGCATAGTGAAATTGTGTTTGATTTTACCTGCCAAATAGAATTCTTGCCAGATGACAGTTTTCTAAGCATCTATCAGCTTTACCAAATTACTCCTCTTGAATATACTAAGATGCCTTATAATAGGAGAACCATAAACGAAAATAGCAGACGTTCTATCAAAGTTGTGACTGACAATGATGAGCAGCATTCAACCCTCTAGGCAGGTTTGGTTTAAGATCAAAGGCAGCTTCCTGCCATGTTCAATGTCTTGAAGATTCAGTATGTCAAAATGTTTTTGATTTAAAATGTTCATCTATAGAGTTAACGTAAAAAGTTGAAGCAAAAATGATAGACCTGGCACAGTCTTTCTCTTTCCTGACCTTTGGTACTATAATAGCTACTTAAATCATTTTCGATAACTTTGAAATTCACAGTCCACAAATATTGAGTGGCTGCTTTGGGGGGAAAGGAGACTCCTAGTTCCTCTGTTCCCTACCATTCTAAAA